TATCCGCTTATAATACCCCGGGTATTTTACGCGATAACGTTGATTTTTTCGACAATAGTACCCGGGTCTTTTACAAATCACGCCTCAAAATTGCTGAGGGGTACTTTGCTCGGGGGGGTACTTTAGTCAAAGCAATACGGTACTTAGGTTCAGAGTAGATTTAGAAAATGTTTGCAAGCTTTAATAGTTGTAGGCTTAGTGTTATTGACAGAGAATCCCGGTTTATTAATAATCATCAAAATTAGCATGATGATCTAATCAAACGTTCACTGCTACTACATGCCAATTGCTATGCATACAAGTAATAATATATATATAAAACTGAAGAAATTTTTCAGGCACTGAGAGAGTTGGGTCGGTTATACCCGCATTACCGCCGGGAACGTGAATAGTGTTGTAAATTTATAATTACAATGGTTCGACTGAACATGAAAAAGCAGTACGTTTTTTGGAGATAGGTTGCAAACGTTGTTGCTCGAAAATGATTTCCGAGACATCCGAACAAAACATATTTTTGATGACCCAACTGGAAGCAATAGATGATGGAGAAATAACTGCCAGCCAACGTCGTAAAAAAAATGCGTAATAATAAGCGAAAGTTTTACTACTGAGATCGTAATACGCCGCTTTTCAGAAAACGTATCTTAATATGTTAAGTATTCAAATTATGAGTCCAATAACGGACTCGTATAACACGTACCAACGCTTAGGCGTAACGCACGCAAACACGACCGACCGACGACTCACGCACGGCAAACGCGTTATTGGAATGGCCCACGGTGCAATGCTCGTAAGGAAGAGGAGGCAAAAGAACATCTGGTTAGGCTAAATTAGAAAAAGTTTATTAGAAACACAAACTTAGCAGAAGAACAAAGAAATTTTATGACGAAAGGCAAAGCTAATTATTGTAGCATTGACGCTACTGCTCATTACGGTTACGATTGGTCACAATATGTTCACGTACCCCATTCCGATCAACAGGTAAATAAGATTTATTACCCTAGTCTACGTAAAGTGCATTTATTTGGTATTCAAGATGAAGCAGTACACGCAAACAAATTAACTACGTTCTTGAATAATGTTATATTTGGCGTGATACAATTTAAAAATGTGATTTACATAAATTCGTGCATTAGTTACAGCTGTGATAATCAAGCATTAGTTAACTTTCAGCCACATTATCATATTTATGTCATAATACAAATTAGATTTTTTTCCCACTGTTCTTTTTTTCGTTCTTTGAACATACTATTGTGAAAACTGGAAAAGACTCACTATCTTCACTGAGTTTTGATATACTGTAATATATATTTCTGTAAAATATTGTCACATTATTGCACTACTTGATGATAATAAATACCCACATATTATAATATTAATGCATGTTATCGTGCTATATCAAATTTCTTTTACTGCAACTTTGCGCAACGTCATCCTTTTTACTCATTATTTAATTCGATATTTTTTATTAATTTCATAATAAAAAAGATTCCATTCATTTTGAAAGCATCCGTATTTCTTATTTGCATGTGCTTGTATCGTCGTTTCTACTCATAAAAGGTATCACTTTTTTACTTCAAAACACAAATAAATTTTTATGTATCAGCCTTTCGATTTCTATGTGTAAACCGAATATTGTTTTCCACATAATTTTTCGTAAATTTCATCACTTTTCACTGTCGGTTTATCCTTTTCCCAGTATATTATTCTGTAGTTCGACATAATGTCACAGAAAATCTGTAAATTTATAACCATTTTATTTGCTTAATTTCTTTGAAATTGTCTTTTAAAAAATTTTTTATACTATCGGCATTATTATAATGATTACTACGGTCAACTCTCTTTATCGGTCGTTACATGCAGCGTAGTGCATATAATATATTATATGACGTTTTTGACTGGGCAGAGCACAGGCGATCGTTATAAGGCACCGGTCGTTAGAAAGAAGGTCGTTAGAAAGAGAGTTGACTGTACACACCACTGTATGTCACCCTTTCATTTGTTTGTATTAATATTTTCCTTATCAGACAATTATTTTTTGAACAAAAGAGCTTAAGACCTTACACGTCTCATTACAAGTTGTTGAGAAGCATATTGATGAAATGACTGATTATTATATATACACTGAATTCCACATGTATGACCTGGTAAGATAATTTATATTTTGTACTGTATACACTATTGTGCTCTTTTATTGTGATTTTCAAAATGCTGTGACACCCTCAAATTTAGTGTGTGTGTGATTACAGATTACAGATTACAGATTGCAGATTATAATTACAATTTAAATTATCACATGACATTTTGAGTAAAATTCCAGATCAAGGTACTAGTATGGAGGGTGTAATTCTTCTAGAATGTATCTCCTTGGCACCTGCTTTGACTGCCAGTTTCGTTTTTATTATTATTGTGGGAAAGACAATAGCTATGAACTGTGTCATAGTCATAGTAAGAATAAGTTTCTGAAATACATAATAGTCTCAATAAGGTAAATTTTATAAAAACTAAAACTTTTGCATAAACTTTTTTACAAAATTTTTTTAAAAATGTGTTATTTTTCGTATGTGCTACTTTTTGCTAAAATATGTAGCTTTAAGATAAATAAATTTTATTTATGGTCAAAGTGCAGAGAACATAATAGTAATAGTACAGTATGTCTGTCATTAATGAGATTTTTCACTTCTATTCTTTAATAATAATAACAGTTCATAATTACGGAATTATGCAATGTAATAATAATAATAATAATAGAGTGTCTATGCTCCCACTTACACTATCACCCACACAGCTGCACAGCCAATATAAATATTTTGAAATACTTAATATAAATACTGTGTATTGATATTGATACATTGAATCAAAATTCTGAGCTCAATTTTTTCAACTTTGATATTTAACTCACTATCACATTTAAAAATGTTAAGAAATATTGATAATAACTTCCTCATTATACATTATACATATATCTGATGATTATAATATAAAAAGTTTATATCAAAAAGAAGCACATCATTATTCAACATCATGATCATAAACAACTTGAAAGACTTCAATTTCCTTCACAGAAAACATGCCCATACTATTCCTAATAGGTTTATCATATGAATCCTGAATTGTAGAATTGCCAGCAACAACAAAACCACCACTAAGAGCTAAGTCCTTACCAAAAGTTGGCCCACAATTTGGGCCATTCCAAACAGCCATGGCAGGTTTTTTACAAAGACTTAAAACATTGCCACTTGACTTCACTGCAAATAAAAAGCTAATAGATGTATTTGTGTATTCCTTAAGTGCTCTGTTCCAGCTTGTGGGGTTAAATCCTCCAATTATTTCGTTATTCTCTTTGGTTCTAATAACTGTAATAGTAGGCCCTTGATTATCACATAAATTATGGAAAATACTTGGTTTATAACCATCACGACTACCTCGATAAAGTAAAGTAAAGGAGCTCACAAATGTCAGCATTTTAAAATGGCTGGACAATATCATCTCTACAGTGTTTAATACCCACTGAATCTGTACACGATTAAGAATTGCTGATGATACATTCTGTATCTGAGGGACTTTTGCCTGTGTATGTGGTGGTGGGCTTTCAGTATTAATCTGGATAGAAGTGGTAATAAATCAATTAGGTAGCAGTTCACCAATAATTCACTGTCAACTTATTAGCGAAATTAAAATACTTACACCTGAAGGCGTCTGTGATCTTCTGGATTCTGGTTGAGGCTTTGAAGATTCACTTTCACTATCTATTGCACGAGTCGGGTATGAAGTTCTTGCAGAGGAGTCTGAGGTAGTACCAGCATCCTTCCTTGTTGTAGTTGACACTCTTTTTCTAGGTGGTAATATTTCTGATTTAGGTTTATATGCACCAAAAGTCTGTTTGTAACGAATTATATCTACCCGTAGCTGGTATGGGAGCAAATGAAGAAGTGGCACGACTTTTTCAATATAATCGTCATTATCCATGTGAAAAAATCTTACAAGTGGAATACAATCTTTAAGTATATCCTTCACAAACTCTCCATGTGCATGAGACCATTCTAAATCGTTCCAGGAATCAAATTCGAGTCCAGGTTTTTTGGCTACGCCCCAACGAAGAACGTGTTCCCATATTTTACCTTCAGGTAAATCAATATCTCGATTTAACAGTTCAACCAGAGTTTCATTATCAATATCTGAGAAATCTGCGGCAGCAAATATAATCTCTGGAGAGTTTTCAATGGTCTCCTTGCAAAAATCGTTAAGAATTTCAAATTCCTTATGTTGAGATGCGAAACGACTCACACGCACAAATCGATGGTGTATGGTCTCTTTCTTTTCCTTAATCAGCTTGCTTTGCATTGTTTCCATCAAGCGATTCAGTTCAAGCGTTTTCGCGCCCTCAACAATCTCCAGATTACTATTAATGTCGTCCTCAATAGTAAATATTCCCGTATATATGTAACTATCAAAACGACTATTTAGCTCTTCTGTGCAACCATAATTAGCATATACGCAAGCTCGTTCTCACTTACCGAAGTAACTTTTCAAATGTCTCAGGCTTAATGGGTTCAATAACATGGGGAATGGAGCAGTCTCTCGGTGAGTTTTCTTGGCTGTCATCTTTGTCATAAGATAGTTCTCTTTTGAAATATGACGAACGTACGCACAAAATCAACCAGTGTGCGTGGAACTTTTTTGAGTGTCCTTCTTCTCCAACTTGAATAGTAACATCTGTATTGAATGGTTCTTCGTACAAGCGCTTGAATTCGCTTGACAGGTGATGAGTCAATTCTACTGTAGTCATTTCCTTCGTCACGATACTATTAAGCGGATTGTCACAGTCGTACTAAAAGATTTGCGAATTTGACACATGATTTATATGTGTAACCTGGATACTGCATTAGTTAGCTTCAAACAGTACCAAATCATTGCGACCCTACTCAGAAGTCTCCGACCCCTCCTTAAATTTTTCGTCGCTCGCGCATAACACTATAGTCAACCATCCAAACGAAATGAAATGTTAGTCATTATTTGCGCATATGCTAACTATATTCCTACAAAATTTTGTTACACGTTATAGTTAATATGTACGATTTTAAGTTTCGCAAACCAAATGTTAAAAAACGTGCATAAAAAATTTTCAACGTTATAACACCAGACAAATTAATGTTTATTTGAAAGTATCGGATTTGGTGGGTCTTTGAAAGTATCTGAATGTCTTAATCAAATACAAAATTTTTTACGCCGTTATTATGCTTGGTTGCTGACAAATAAAATTACAAATTTATTACCTGAAAATGTAGCAAAATTTAGTAACCATACATATTCAAGCATGGTTATAGTTGTGAAGCAAAAATTTATTAGTGCTTGGTTGCATAACCTTTAGCATGTCTAATACTAACTGTTTTTACTCTACGTTCGTGTTTAAATTTAGTTTGAAATATAGTGTTTGGGAATTTTTTTCATTCTTTTTAAAGAATTTCAGCCAGTTTTCCGGTGGTGGGTTTTGTTTTCTAATGCCGTTGCTCAAGTTCGTTCCACAGGTGTTCAATGGGATTAAGATCAGAGCTCTGCCCTAGCCATGAATTTTCAAAGAATGTGTCGACTTACTTTATAGACTGATGCATGTTGTAAAAAATGTTATTGACCCAATAAAAACAACTTTCTAAAGCATATAAAATGTGAAAATAAATTGTTAATTAACATTAATGTGCTGAAAAAATCTGAATGCATCATGAAATTGCTGAAGTTAACAAAAAATTTTTTAGTCTAGAACTTATCATCAACTATATCAAAAATTATTAAAAACGTGGGATATACAAACACAGCAGTGTTGTAATATAAGTGCAGCTAAAACTGCTTTTGCCACTGAAATTAAAATACCTTCTTTCCGAAAGCAAAACGCCATCATAATTGGTCACTGTTTTTAATTGATCTTTCACTTTCTAATCTTTACTCTTTACCAGTTGTTTTTTATCACATCATATTTGATGGTATACTCTCTGAGCATAATAAATAGTTAGTCATAATGGATGAAAATTCACTGCAAATCTATTTATATTTACTATTACAGTGTCATTATTGATTCCAAATATAATAACAGCTCATGATTGTGCAATGTATATTTTGAGATACTTAATACTGTGCATTGAAATAATATGACACGTTGAAACAAAGCTGCTCAAACCCCAAAAATTCTGTACCAGAGCTCAAGCCTTTCAACTTTAACTCACATTTAAAAATGTTAAAGAATATTGGTAATGTAAATACAGAAATAGATATATTGATAACTCCACATTATACATGTCATAATACATCTGATGATATAAAAAGTTAATATCTATATCAAAAAGAATTATCACTATTACTATTACTATACAACAACACTATTATGTAACTAAAAAATAACTTGAAAGACTTCAATTTCCTCCACAGAAAAAAACATGTTCCTATTACCTCTAATAGATTTATCATATGCATCCTGATATGTATGATTGTAAGGAACACTAAAATTATTAATGAGAACCAAATCATTACCAAAAACTGGCCCACAATTTGGGTCATTACGAATAGCAATGGCAGGTGATTTACAAAGACTTAAAACATTGCCACTTGACTTCATTGCAAATAGAAAACTATAAGATGTATGCATATATTTCTGAAGTGCTTGGTTCCAGCTTATGGGGTTGTATCCTCCAATTATCTCATTTTCTTCCTTGGTTCTAATAACTGTAATAGTAGGCCCTTTATTATCACATAAATTATGGAAAACACTTGCTTCATCACCATCATGACTACCTCGATAGAGTAAATTAAGAGTGCATGTAAAAGATGTCAACAAAGACTCTTTCAGTTTAAGCTCCTTGCATGTCATTCCCTTTGTCATACTTAATAGCCACTGAATCTGTGCATTGTTAAGAATCAGTGATGACACATTCTGAGAGGCATCCTTAGTTTTTGCCTGTGGTGGTGGACTGTCAATATTAATCTGGATAGAGAATAGTGATAAATTTAGGTAGCAGTTCACCAATAATTCACTGTCAACTTATTAGCAAAATACTTACTCCTAAAGACGTCTGTGGTCTTCTGGATTCTGGTTGAGGCTTTGAAGATTCACTTTGACTATCTATTGCACGAGTCGGGTATGAAGTGCTTGCAGAGGAGTCTGAGGTAGTACCAGCATCCTTACTTGTTGACACTCTTTTTCTAGGTGGTAATATTTCTGATTTAGGTTTATATGCACCAAAAGTCTGTTTGTAACGAATTAGATCTACCCATAACTGGTATGGGAGCAAATGAAGAAGTGGCACGACTTTTTCAATATATTCGTCATTATCCATGTGAAAAAATCTTACAAGTGGAACACAATCTTTAAGTATATCCTTCACAAACTCTCCATGTGCATGAGACCATTCTAAATCGTTCCAGGAATCAAATTCGAGTCCAGGTTTTTTGGCTACGCCCCAACGAAGAACGTGTTCCCATATTTTACCTTCAGGTAAATCAATATCTCGATTTAACAGTTCAACCAGAGTTTCATTATCAATATCTGAGAAATCTGCGGCAGCAAATATAATCTCTGGAGAGTTTTCAATGGTCTCCTTGCAAAAATCGTTAAGAATTTCAAATTCCTTATGTTGAGATGCGAAACGACTCACACGCACAAATCGATGGTGTATGGTCTCTTTCTTTTCCTTAATCAGCTTGCTTTGCATTGTTTCCATCAAGCGATTCAGTTCAAGCGTTTTCGCGCCCTCAACAATCTCCAGATTACTATTAATGTCGTCCTCAATAGTAAATATTCCCGTATATATGTAACTATCAAAACGACTATTTAGCTCTTCTGTGCAACCATAATTAGCATATACGCAAGCTCGTTCTCACTTACCGAAGTAACTTTTCAAATGTCTCAGGCTTAATGGGTTCAATAACATGGGGAATGGAGCAGTCTCTCGGTGAGTTTTCTTGGCTGTCATCTTTATCATAAGATAGTTCTCTTTTGAAATATGACGAACGTACGCACAAAATCAACCAGTGTGCGTGGAAGATTTTTGAGTGTCCTTCTTCTCCAACTTGAATAGTAACATCTGTATTGAATGGTTCTTCGTACAAGCACTTAAATTCGTTTGACAGGTGTGGAATCAAATTTACTGTAGTCATTTCCTTCGTCACGATGCGGATTGTCACAGTATCGTACTAAAAGATCTGGTTGCGTATGACATCCAATAAGAATTTAGCAGTTAAATAATGAATGTAATAATGTCTAACAATACGCTGCTGATACAGTAAAGGTTCAGAAATTAAATTACAACTAAGCCTAGCCATTACAGTGCTTTAAGTTCCCAATATTATTCTTCCACTTTTACGGTTAAACAAAAGATCATCAAAAAACCAAGCGATTGTCGAGCCAATATACCCGGGAGAGCGTTGGTATACGGGCTTGAGATTTGGCTCTTTTTAAATGGAACCTTTCGCTATTCCTACTCGACATAAATCTATTGACAATTAGTGACATTTAAACTACGATTTATACGATCGGTCTTGTATACGTTTCTCCTGAATTATTATTACTTATCTCGAGAATTACGTCGATTTGGATTAACTGATAGCCTATCGGGTTGGGAAACTAAACTAAATTGCGCAAAGAAATAAATAATAATTATGATATGAAATATGGGTTCGAGGTTTGTATCTCAATAGTAACAAAGACTATACCGGCGTTTCATCAGAATTTACAATATAGAACGAAAGAAGTAAGTTTGTTTTAACACAGTCTACTAGAAGATAAGGAACTATTCTATTGCAAGGATTAAAGAACAGATTAGATATCAACGTCTTGAATATCTATGCTGAAGCTGAAGCTGACGTTCTGCTATCGTCTAAACTACTTTTTTATAACTATTTGATGTTGTACTAGCGGCAAGAAATATCGCCGGATGAGGAAATAATTAATATAACACTTTCGTATCATAAACTGTGATAATAGTAATATTAATAAATTCACTGTATGAAAATGTCCCAGACTACTAACACAGAAGTCATTTTTGGTACGCAATACTTGGCTATTTTAGGGCGTAATTTTCATGAAAAATCATGGTGGACTAGAGATAGGTGAGCTTGTTGGGGAGATTCAAATCAGCGATGAATATCATCAAGAGGAAGAACAGAAGAGTAAAGACTCTGAAAGAGAGCAAAACATTGGAGAAACAAATGGAAATATGAGAGGCAGGGTAAATTACATCCATAAAATTCATTACTCTTCGATAACTATTCGGTTTGCTGAGATTTTTGGCTCATTAGATTCGGAATAAAGTGAAACAAAAATATTGTCTAGCAATAGGGAGAGTCTGCCATAGTATACAGTATCAGAAATTTTCTTCCATTCTTCTTGAAGAATTACAGCTAATTCTCTCTCAGATACAGGTGGAGGGCTCCGTTTTCTAATTTGTCATTCAAGCTCATCCCATAGTAATAGCAATAGATGTTCAATGGGATTAAGGTCAGGGCTCTGTCCAGGCCATTTCATCAAGTTTATATTTGAATCATCAAAGAATGTCTTTGTCAATTTGCTTGTATGAACAGGAGCATTATCTTGCTGAATTCATACTCAACAATTTCCCCATTGAGTTTCTCCATAAATGGTACTAAATGAGTGTTTAAAATGT